TATCTTTAATATTGCACTCACTGTGACAATTATTTCATAGGCCAATAATTTAACATGCTTAATATCAATAAGTTTGTGAGTTTCAAGTATTAATTTTTTTTTAATAAAGAAAGTTTGTGACTATATAGAAAAAAAATCTTGTTCCATTTTTATACTTTATATTTAGAGTTATTCACAGATAAAGTTTAGTACTTAGAGTAGTGATCTTCATATGATTGAATACTTTTGTCAGGTGAATATTTATATATTTAAAAATAAATAAAGAATATGATAATCTAAAGCTACTTTAAGGCTTATTGTCCTTTCTTTACAAAAGAAAAACTAGTATCTTTTTGAGCTTGTTGATGTTATTAAAAGTAAAAAGAAAAAAAAAATTAAACAATTATATATTATACTCAAAAAGTATCAGTTATATTTCTTAATTACTATATACTCTATTTTCAAATCTTTTTTATTAGACAGTTTGAAGAGAGTTTTTACTGAGTCTTTATAAAAATAAGATGAAAGTAACATGAAAAACTTTACAGTTTTGTGACTTGTAAAAGAAAGTAATCAAAAAGACCCAGATGATATATTAATATCTATATGAGTAACTTAAAAGTCTTTCAGTATATCATTAATTACTGTAAACCTATTTCTATCTAAATATATATATATTTATCTATTAGTACAATGTATTTCTGATTTAACTCCTTAAAGAAGGACTGCACTTATCCCTATAGTTGATATACTCTGTTAGTGACTATTGATATTAATAATTAATAAGAATCTTCTAAATTATTCAGTCAGCTCATATGTTATTGTTAATATTTTTGAATTTAGGTTTTGATTGATATAGTAGTGTTAAATTTTCAGTCTTTCAGCTTGGAATTTTTTGAAGATATGATAAAAATTTCTTGATTTACTATATATATTAGTTTTACTACTGAGTATTTTTATCTATTTCTTACTTTTTTTTATTGAATTTTTCTGAGTAGTAGGAGTTGGGACCTGTTTAAAATGCATTTAAGATATAGGTGACTCTGATTTTCAAAAGTTAATTGAGCATCATATAATTTTTACCATGGTTAAATAGATTCTTTATTATATCTAATGATGTATTGAGGATATATTATATAATTACTTGTATCAAGATATACTATTTTAATAGATCTCATGTTCTTATGTAGTTAAGAATATATATTCAGATATGTGGGTGACCAATAGAAATTTGTTTATATTTTTTTACTGATATAATCCTACTGAGTCAATCAGCTTATAAGAAACTTATATATTATTTAAAATTTAGGGTCAAGTTGAGATAGACAAAATTCCTTAGAGAAAATTGAAAAAGAGTATTATTAAAGTTCTCATAATAACAAAGAAAGTAGAACAAGCTTTATTTCCACTAAACAACTCTGTTTTATTTTTCTATATGCTAGATAGATAATAAACTGTCAATTTTTCTTTCTTTCAAAACTTTCTTGCCATTAATTAGAAAGATGTTTTTATGACTTTGAGTTATAGAAGTCAGGTTTTTGCTTGAAGAGAAATATTAATAAAGTGAGGAGGAAGTGTAAATAACTCTTGAAGGATTCTTCAAGTTAATCTAAGAAGAGTAAGTAATTATTAAACCTAATCAAAAAATAATTTTTAATTTTAATCTTTAAGTGATATTGAATTATAGATTTTGTAATTTAATCTATAAAGTGTTAACCATTGCACTATTGATTCATAGATTTATTTATATTTATTTATAAAATTTAAAACTCAAATTTTTATATATAAAAAATATAAAACTTATAAATTTAATTTAAAAGGTATTAAAAAAAAAACACAATTATTTATATAATATAAGTTTTCTATTTTTTATTTTATTTTATATATTTAAAATTTTAGAATTTATATTTTTAATACTTAGCTTTGAATTAGATTTAAAATTATAAATATAGTTTTTTTTCAAAAGTCTTAATCTACTTATTATGTTTTATTATAACTTTCAACTTTATCAATTTTTAAATCTTTAATTATATAATTAAAATTATAAAATTTGCATATATGAAACCTTAATACTTGTTCTATTTCTTATATTTAAAAAAAAATTTTTTTTAATAAATGATTTCTAAAGTTTTAAAATTATTAAAAAATTTATTTTTTTATCAATTATTATATAATTTATGTAATGACTAATCAGAATCATTCAAAAATAAAAAATTAATAAAAAAAAAAAGAAAATTTTTAAAATAACAAGACTTTAAATTTTTTTCAAACCTTTTTATATACAATTTTTAAAGTTAGTATTAAGGTATAATGTATGTAAATTTTATAATCTTTTATTGTATAACTAAGGATTTATAAATTTATAAAATGAAAATTTATAATCAAAACATAATAAGTGGACTAAAACTTTTGAAAGCAACTGTATATTCGCATAGTGTTGACTAATTTGTCGGCGATTAAGAATTATATTAAGCTATTTATCATCTGTCAAAGTCTGATTCCAAATCAATCGCCATTGATTAAGTCTCAAAACTACGTCTTTAGCTGTAATTCGTTTCTGTGGATTTAAATCCATGCATTGTTTGGATAATTCAATATAACAATTAGGTGTTCCCGGGAACAAACTCTAAAGTCCCTTATAAATATTTACTTTGAGATAAATGTCATAGTTACAGTATATCCATCAAAGGTTATTCCATTTGGCATATCTGCCATAATAACAAATATTAGCCGATGATGCATTTTTTTTTTCAAGTAAAACTTCGAGCATAACTCCACAAATGCATTTCTCCGAGCATTTCTTTTTTCTATTAGATAATCTTAAATCCGTAGTATAATTTGGCATATTTTTACTGACGACGGATTTTGTAAAATATTACCACTATAAAAGACACCGTGAACGTACTGTATTTAGTGCTTTCTTTATGTTATACAATATTATACGTAATTCATAATACATTCTCGCTAGCGTAAACACATGTTAAAAAATAAATTTATATTGCATACATTTGATTTAATCGCATATTGTAAGTTGACTGCTATGTGTAGGCCTTGTTGAATTACAGTATTTATAATGCGATGCGATTGCTGTTCTCCAAAAATATCAACAATTTGAGGTTGTGCTTCATTAATTTTAAATACATTCAGAAAATTTATTGTTTAATAACTGGATTATACAGTAAATGCAAACCGTCTCTTACGTGAAAAGATTCCATTTGGAGAACATGGATATTTTACAAAGTAATACGTAGTATTGAGTAAAGTTATGAGATTAGTATGATTTGTTATTCTAATATAAAAGATATTCGTTTTAAATCAATATTTCACTTTTCCTCTTCTTCGATCTTCTTCAACCTTTCATTAACAAAATTTTCCGAATATTCCCATAATTTACGAGCTAATTCTTCGTCTTTCGCCTGCTTAGAAGGTTCCGCTAGTTTTGCGCAAGGCACAAAATACATTCCACGTAAATTCTTTTCAAGAATTTCTGGACTACTTGCGCAATAAAGCTGAGTCAATGCACCTTCATCAGGAGTCAAAAGAAATAATTTGCTGATTACTAGATAGAACGGTTTTATCCATGAACCCCAGCTTCCTTCCAAACCACGAATTAGCTCTGTATTCACAGATCCTGCAAATATATTTTAAAGGATACCGTAATTAATGTTTAGCAAAAGTATTAAGCAGAAAATTATGTATAAATTCACGCACCTGGGTGAACAGAGTTCACATAAACTTCTTTATCCGAAAGCCTCTTGTTAAGTTCCAGAGAGAATAAAATATTTGCCAATTTCGATTGACCATATCGTGCAAGCGAAAGATAAGCATTGGGATCATTTAAATTATCGAAATCTATTCCACAAGTTGGTGTGAACTTATGTCCGTGACTAGAAATATTTAAATCGATCTGTGTAAGGATAGCAATAATTTTAAAATAAAATGTTCCGA